TTGTGAAGTCATCTCAGGGCTGACTGAATATTTTGCATTTGTTGATTTCAGAATGTATATTGGTATACAAACATAGTTTTTTTTTTTTTTTTCTTGGACTTTTTGACTGTATTTTGAAACTAGAAACATCAAGTTTGTTTGTGTTCTAGAAAAATCAACTTTTGACAATATAGTTCTAGAAACATCAAGTTAGTTAGTTAGTTGGGTTATCCTCATTGCACTCCGGACATGTCCATAGGTGCTCAGATCCTTCCCTCAGTATGAACCCCAACGTCCGATGGCTAAAAGTACCAGTTCTATGTTGATTAACAAGTCTTCTGGCGTAGCTGGTGTGCGTCTCGTTTTTTGCTGTGCCGATCTTAAAAATGGGTCGGCGTTGACTAAACGAAGCGCAGTTCCAGTAGAGAAACATCAAGTGTTTTATGTCACTAAATTGTTCTAGAAACATCAAGTGTTTTATGTCACTAAATTTTTCTAGAAACATCAAGTGTTTTATGTCACTAAATTTTTCTAGAAACATCAAGTGTTGTGTGCAACTGTATTATTCTAGAAACATCAAGTGTTGTGTGCAACTGTATTATTCTAGAAACATAAAGTGTTTTGTGTGTGACGGTGACCGTTTTATAAATATCTAGTTTTTGTATGTGATGGTGACTGTATTGTTCTAAAAACATCAGTTTTGTGTGTGATGGTGACTGTTCTAGAAACATCAAGTTTTGTTCGTGACTATATTGTTCTAGAGACATCAAGTTTTGTTCATGACTATATTGTTCTAGAGACATCAAGTTTTGTTCATGACTATATTGTTCTAGAGACATCAAGTTTTGTTCATGACTATATTGTTCTAGAGACATCAAGTTTTGTTCGTGACTATATTGTTCTAGAAGCATCAAGTTTGTGTGTGTCACGTTGACCGTTGTAGAAAAAACTAGTTTTTGTGTGCGACGACGGTGACTATTGTTCTAGAAACATAATTTGTTTGTGTGTGACATTATATTGTTCTAAGATATCCATTTTGTGTGCAACTTTGTGGCTGTATTGATTAACATTTAAGTTTATGCAACATGTTTATGTGTAAAGGTTGTCTCATGCATGTTAGAGTTAAGTTTCAAGAGGGACTGCCGGTGAGTTGATGCTTAACACAGGTAACAAAATATGAATGGCAAACTCAATAAAGGATAAGTAAATAATGAAACTTTCTTTTTTGTTGATCCAATAATTTTGTTGTTGTTCTGGGAAGTAATGGTAGCCATTGTGATGTTGATCACATTACCCTTTGAGTGCAGATTTGTCTATAAAACTGAATTGTTGTTTGTTTGTTTTAGTATCCAGAAGCCATGAGTTGTTAACCCTTAGGCTCGGTATTATGGATATCGCAACCTTTCGGCCTTGATTCCATTGTAAATCTGGGAGAAAATGTGGCTTTCCTGCCTACCCCCGGGATTGAACCCGGACCACAAGGAGTACGTCACCCGGTCTCCGCGAAATCCAGTTTAGCCAATTCCGCTAGAGAGCCGGGCATAAAACTGAATTGAGCACCATATATCACAGTGGCTAGAAAGGGGTTTTTTATAAAGAAAATCATGGTTTTGTTCTCCACCGTTGAGTATGCAACAGCAATCATGACACTCAGCACCACACAGATGAACAGATTGGAAACAATCGAAAACGAGGCAGTGCGCATTACCCTTGGATGCACTAGATACTTACCTAGTTTGTCGCTTTTCTTCTACCTTGGGGTGTAGAGGTTTACCATAGAGATCGCCAGACTTCTCTACCAGAAGTTTTCTTTCTGGCTTTGTTCCATTCCAATCCCCTGTCGGATGTTGTCTTTCCAGCGGACCCTGGAGGTCTGGTTCCTGGTGCACTAGACCTGTAAATCAGTGCAATAGCTCTTAGATCCCCCCAGTGGATAATAGAATCAAGCTGTCCAGGGCTATTGCCTTCTTTAAGGTAAATTCAGACCCCCAACACCCACTTCATGAACTATTAGGTCTTAAAAAAAAGAATAGAATTAAAATGGGAAAATCATGGATGGGTCATGCTGAGGTCGCTATCCAACAGGTTTGCCGACTTACTGGCACATCATTTATGGAACTGAACGGATGCCTATGTCAGCTGATTTAAGCGTTAAAATTTACAGTCCATATCACACTGGATGGAAGCTATAGAGAGCAGATCCCGACACAGTGGACGCAGTAGTCAGACCACTGATTGACGTCAACACAGATCAAGGTGATGCTGTGGTGTACATGGATGTCATTATTCACAGTGAACACAACCATTAGGGAGATGAATGGAGCCTTTGCTAATGGAAACAGTGGCTGTAAAAAAGGGCAGTAGAATAGCTGGGTGCTCAAGAGTTCACGCATACTTAGTGACATAATGGATATTATCATCATCAAGTGCCTTGCCAGTTGGCGCGGGTGTTTTTGCGTCTACACAGATCTCGGCATTTGGTGTTCTGGATCAATTCCAGTGACGATATTCCTTTATACCACTAACTTAAGCCATCCATCATCATTTCTCTTGGTCTGCCTCTGCCTCTTCAACCAGTGATCTTTCCAGTCGTCACAATATTTTCCAGTGCTCCTTTTCTTATCTCATGACCAAGGAACTTTGTCTCCTTCTCATTGTTGTAGATAATGTTCTTCATTGTTGGTTATTCTGGCAGTCCAAGGTATTCGCAACATTCTTTTCAAGAACTGCATCTCAGTTGCCTCCAAGCTCTTCTTAATTTGTCTGCTCACTATTCAGGATTCACTGCCATAAAACAGAGCAGGCTTGATGTACCATTTTAGTACTTTCTGATGTTTAATGAGAGCAATTTATTACATAAAATATTTTTCATCTTCTGAAATGCTGCTTTTGCCTGGCCAATTCTACTCTTAATTTCTGTCGCTCATCGTCCATCTGATCTTATGAATGTCCCCAAATACTTGAATGTATCAATGCTGACATCTTACAGGTCGCATTCGCATATGTCATTATAGCGTAATTTTAGCATTCCTTGAGATCTTTTTCCATGTTTCCAGTTCAACATTCAGGAGATCCTTTGGAAATTGACCATCCTCCACAGAGGGAGACATATCCCAACCATCGCAGGCGTCCACTACTACTTATCATTATCTTGTAGCAGGTCCTTTGCAGAACGTCGTTCTCCTCTCGGTCTGCCTGGTGAAAATAACTCTCCCTCCTTGTGCAGCTTCCTACAAATATCCCATGATCGCCCTCGTGCTGGTGGGCTCCTGCTTCTCTTTTCTGGTACTATACATTTTGTATAGTTGGAACATTGTGGGGGACAGGCCTCGGTAGGCTGGTCTGGGTTTCTAGTCGAAAAGAAAGTCTTATCCCTTAAGCCCAGTGTCTCTCTGCCAGTTGCTAAGTCTAACATGTGTCCGATGAACCAACCGTACGCTTGCCACTTGGTCGTTAAAATAGCCGGTTAATCTAATAGGCTACCACAGCGACAATGTATATTTAACTTCAAATTTAACAGTACCCATTGCATAGTCACCACTTCGACTTGACCCTGTCCGAGAACATCAGGTAAAGTACAGCAGGAGAAAATCAAGGCCTGGGAGTCATGACCCAGGTTGACCCATCCTCTGAAGTTGTCTAGGAGGTTATGGGACGAAACAATTATTGACGAGGGATCTTTTACTGATGATTGGTAGACTCCTGCTGTACATGCTCCCCTGTGGAGTTCTTATTGTTATTTCACTACAGCTATAAGAGATAAGCAGCAAAACAAATGGGGGGATAACATCAAGAGATGAACAACCGTTAGTATATGAGAGAGTATATCAAGGACGAAAGGCAGAGAGATAACCTTAGCCGATCTTCATTGTCGCATTCTTCTTCTTCTTCTTTTCCTGCCTCTCCAACCCCCAATAGTGCATAAGCTCTCAATCAACTCTCGCCAAGTCTTTCTATCCTTTGCTATCACATGAAGCTCCCCTATGAAGTCCTCCCCTTGTTTTTTAACTCCACTCTCTAGCTCCCTTCACTATGTGTTTTTTGGGTCTGCCTTTATTTATATGCCCCTGTGGGTTCCTGTGCAAAGTGTCTTATCCAATGCCAGTGTCTTTTCTTCACCCTTTGGTCCACTGGAACCTGCTTAGTTCTCTCCCAAAGTGATTCTATCTTACCACTTAATTTCCTCTATTCTGCGCAGGCACAAGTTAATGAATGTTTGTAGTTTATTAGTTATTGCCTTAGTTGTTCTCTGTGTTTCTGCTCCATGCAAGGGTACTCCTACCTACATAGCAATAGTGGTAATGACAGATTCAATGCGTATGTGAGGGGGGGGGGGGGGCATGAAACGATGATCAAAAATCATTTGAATCACCAAATGGAAAGAGAAAGTTAGTTCACAAAGAAGAATGGAGGCGGGTGATATCTGCAGCAATTTTAGCAAGGGTTCGGAATGTTGATGAAGAAGAGGATAAAGGACTCAGGGGGCCTAAGGTCCAGGTTCTGGCAGTTCCTGATTGCACCAATCTTTACTGTGGAGTCGACACCTGTCTGACAACTGAACATTTGGAGGAGTGCCAGCACATGAACTAGTTATTTCCCCGAGTGGGTTCTGAGGCTCTATTACTGAGAAAACCAGAATTGACCCACTGCGTACCCAGAAGCATGTCGTAAGAGCCGACTAATTGGGAGCTTTTTTCGAAGTCGGAGTGCATCTGCCTGAGAGGCAAGAAACCACCAGTCTGCATACAAACGAGTCAGATATGTAAAACCGATGCACACGCAACACTCAGATTCTGGAACAGGGCTGCAGTCCAGAAGTGGACGAACAACCAGAACTTTCCGCCAGAGTTTACAGCTGGTTAACGTGGAAAAGAGAAAGAACTAGTAATTCATTGTTGGAGAGGCATCATCGCCCACGCCAGTCGGCAAGACTCTTGATGATGATGATAGAAGGGAGATCACTACCGGAAGTCGGGCTCTAAGGGAGGCTATCTCAGTTCACGTCTGCAACAACAAATACCATGCGGCCACTGACTCCAGAAGAAACTGGCACGTTTTTTGAGAAATTATCAAAATAGTAAGATTTGTGTGCTTTCTGTAGTTGTAAGTTCAAATGCTGTTGCTTCACCGTATATGTGTTGCAGTTTAAAATTCGCGTCTCTGTGAAAAATGTGCTAGAAATGCCGTCTCTCCGGTTCACCAATAAAACCGTAACGGAACGAACACGACTTTCTATTTTGTGATTTTCAATTATCGTAGGAGTTTTAGTTTTAAGCTTAAGAAATTTTTTCAAAATTAAATTCCTATTTATATTGTTGGTATAAATTGCATAAACTAAGTTGGTATAAACCTTACTTCAGAGTTTGAAGCTAAACAGATTAGTATTGACAAGTTGTTGTGTTGTAGTTTTTGTACCCACAATTTTAACATCAATTTGATAGATCCTACAAAGTTACTTAGTTCGGCTTCGAGTGAAAACCATAAATATAATTAAGTAAGTACACATTCCACATACGTACACACAGAAACACGCAGACACACACATACACGTATACCCGTAGAACACTCACAAACTCACTATTTAGACACACAACCCACAGACACACATACACAGTATACAGAGGCAGATACGTGTATGCACATGACACACAAAAGCAGATACATGGACACACACACACATATATTTACACATATATACACACAGATTCTGAGTGATCAGTTGGTGGGTGTCTGTTGAATTATTGATCATCATTCATTGTGGATTTGCCAGCTGTTCAGCATCATCGCCTACTTACTCAAAATGTAAGTTAAATAATCACCATTTAAGTAAGATAAAACCCATACCATGACTCAAGAAGGACTAAAATTATAGGCTATCCTCCGAATAACGGGCACAAAAGATGGCGGCTGCAAAAAAACACCCTAACAGATTCTCAGTCACGTGTCAATTACGCACTTCCGGCGACTTAATTTGCGGTTTTCCAGCGACTACTGCCACCACGAGAGTATCCCTTCCTTACGCAGTGTGAATTGGGGCTAAATTAGGTGGCTCACGGGCAGCAGCTTCCGCATCTCCTGCAGCTTTGCTTGTGAGTCCTAGCCATCTGGTTTAGCCCCAATCCACGCCGTGTGAGCGGCGTGGGGATACTCTCGGCGGTGGCAGCAGTCGCCGGAAAACCACAAATTAGGTTGCCGGAAGTGCGCAATTGACACGTGGCTGAGGCCCTGTTTTTGGCCGTGATCTTTTGTGCCAGTTATTCGGAGGATAGCCAAATTATGGAATGCTTATTTTCTAGAAAAATCTGATTACTCACAGCAAGAACAAAGAATTGACAACCCAATGAAATTGGCACACAGATGTGTACTGTAGACCAGCGACTCTGAAACTTTGTTTTCGCCACGGCACCCTGATCAGGCCACAAAATTTTGGGGCACAGCAACTGAATACTTAAGAGAAGAAGAAAGAAAAAAACAGTGCAAATTAAATATTCAGTTGTCTTGAAGGGAAGGCTTGGATGAATTTTTCACTACTGGCGTGGCACCCAGTTTGAGAACCGCTGCCGCAGACTGTGATGTAAATCTTCTTCGCCTTCACTGGCTGTAAACTCCAGCGGAAAATACTGGTTGTATATCCAGTTCTGAATTTTGAGCTTGTCCCATAAGCATAGTTTTGCATTCACACCTGTTTTCCAGATTTGGCTTGTTTGTATGCAAACTGTTGGTTTTTTGCCTCTCAGGCAGGCGAACTTCAGCAACATGCTTGCCCAATGGGACCCCAGAACCCACATGTGGAAAATAGCTAGTTTTCGTGATTTTATTGGAATGGTAAAGTTCTATTACTGTATTTCAGCATCGGGGAAAACATCAAGCTGCTGATTGACCGACCCGATGGCACATACTGTTTTAGGCTGCACAGAGATCGAGTGTATTATTTGAGGTAGGTGGTATTTTAATATTGTGAGAAAGAATGAAATTGAAAATTTGGTGACAGCTGGTTGACTAGATGGGAAAATAGCAAGAGGAATACAGAGATACAGTGTTTCCCCAAAAGTAATTAAAAAGTAAAGAACCAAGAACCCTTTTCTGCACCTTCAGACATATAGTGCTAGACCAATATTTTACAGACCATCTTCACCTGGTGGGTGTTGTGGTCAGCTTCACGCCGGTCTCCTTTACTTCCCATGACTGTACCTGGTTCCCATCTAAGGCTCAGTCAACATGGGAGCCAATGTCAATTGTGAAAAAGTCAGGCGCCATCAGGACCTGAACCCACCAAATCCGCAAGCGGCAGTTCTCTGAAAAATGAAAATTTAACTGGAAATAGGCGCTGGCTTAACTTTTCAGGATGCATATCGTTAATATTGTCAGCCGTGCGGTGGGTTTCGTTCTTCCCATGAAACACATGACAGACATGTGATGAATTAAAAATTGAAAAATGACATACTGGGTGTGATACCAGTGCCAGATTGGTTTACCTCAAAAACGATTGGTCTATAAAAATACAGGTCTTGGCCTATATGCCCTACACGTCTAAAGGCGTGGTTTCCTTCGAAGTCGGCGTACAGCTGCCCAAGAGGCAGGGAAATAAAAAACGGTTGTACACGCAAAAATCAGGTCCAGGTGAAGGCCAAAAGTCCAAGCGGACGATTAACCGGGACCTTCCACTGGAATTCACAGCCGGTTTTCGATGAAAAAAAAAAAAAAAATAAAGGCGTGGAAAAGGGTCCAAACTTAATTGTTTAAATTACTTATGTAGATATTTGAACATGAAATTCCCAGTGTGGTGTACTGTGTCCACATTGACGAAAATAAGACTAGCCTCCCCAACAAGCACGTCATAGGAGTCGACTAACTGGAGGCTTTCTTTGAAGTCAGAGGGCATCTGCCCCGATAGCAAGGAACCACTAACTGCTCACAGATAAGTCAGTAAAACAAATGTACATGCAATTTTTGGGTCCTGGAACAACAAAGCTGAAGTCCCAGTGGACAAACAACCGGGACTTTCTCCCGGAGCTTACAGCTGGTAAACAAAAAAACAGGAAGAACGTGCACAAATGAGATATCCCCTGAAGATAAGCCCTAAAGCCTGGCATCATTTGGAGAAAAAAAAAATAAAAGACCCAGCCTGATAAATACCAGGGTGACTTGGTAGAACAAGAACACTGACCTAATCCATGAATCTGGTATCTTCTTTGAGGTCTTCTTCTTTGTGTTCGCCGGCAGTAAAATATGGCGGAAAGTTCCGGTTTTTCAACCACCTCTGGACTGCAGTCCTGTTCCAGAACCTGAGTGTTGCGTGTGCATCCATTTGACAGATCTGTGAGTGAACTGGAACATCTGTGTGTATTGCCGGGGAAAATGACAACGATATATTTACAGTTATCGACAAGGGGTCGGGTTTTCTTTTTCTTTGATCCTTGTCAGGAAATTTATCAGGAGGTCAGAAGCCTTTATGAAAGCTGTTGTGCTGTCGAAATCTTTCAGTGAATTTGCTTTGTTGTACAATTAAACTGGCAAAGCCTGTAAGACCCATTCAGTTTAGGCGTGTAAAGCAGTTTTGTGTTCTGTTTTTTCAGCGAGGAGTTGCTGAAGATCGGCAGTTCTGCAGCTCGTGATAATTTGTTGAGCATTGGTTCTTGTTTTGGGAAGTTCACCAAATCTGGCAAGTTCCACCTCCATGTCACAGCTCTAGATTATCTGGCACCGTCAGCTAAGGTAAAATATAAGTTCATTTGTTTGTTGTATTATTTAAAACTACCAGTTTATACGTTAAATTGTTTTAATTATTGAAAACTACCAGTTTTTGCGTTTAATTTTTTTGTTGTATTTTTTAAAACTACCAGTTTATACGTTTAATGTGTTTGTTGTATTATTGAAAACTACCAGTTTATACGTTTAATGTGTTTGTTGTATTATTGAAAACTGCCAGTTTATTCGTTTAATGTGTTTGTTGTTTTATTGAAAACTGTCAGTTTATTCGTTTAATGTGTTTGTTGTATTATTGAAAACTACCAGTTTATACGTTTAATGTGTTTGTTGTATTATTGAGAACTGCCAGTTTATTCAACGCTTTGGAAGGATCTGGCTGGGGATTTTCAGCTTGAGTGAAGGGAAAGATCCCGGAAGAACAGAATGGTGCTTTTTTTTCAATCTACAACTCTATGCATGAGGATGGAGGTTGACGAAATCACTAAAGCTCTGAGGTGAATGGCAGAAGACAGTTACCAGAGGAATTATATCCTGATTCTCTTTGGTACTGCAGAAGCTTCCAAATAGACAAACACGGCATGAAATACGGATAAACCAAGCATTAGCATAGCAGGAACCGACATGACTGAGAGGAAACGAAAGCGATAGCTACAAGAAAACTTTTACTGGATAGAGGCGGAGACTTTCTTCAAATACTACATGCTTGTTTGGAGAAGCACTGGGTGTGTTGTTGTTTCTCATAATTGGGCTCCCAGAAACCACACAGGGCTTCTCTGAACTTTAATTTCATCGCGTTTGTTGTCTCCTTGAGGATATGCTATAGAATATTCATAATACCAGTCTCTTCACTTTAACATTTTGTTTATTTTTAAATTGCCAGCACAAGGTTTGGCTGAAGTCAAGCGCCGAGCAGCAGTTCCTGTATGGCCACCATGTGATGAAATCTGGCCTGGGTCGAATAACAGAGGGAACAGAACAATATCAGGGTGTCATTGTCTACAACATGAATGATCTGCCCTTGGTATGTATAATATTAAAGATGTTGTCATGTTAAACTTTCTGGCTTGCCTAACCCTCTCATTTTCCCCTTTTCTCTCACTCTCATTGTTCTGTTAGTGTGTATCTTACTTTATCCATCTCTTACCCCTTTCTCTGCCTCTTTTCCACCTCTCCTCTAATTTTGTCCGTGTCTCTTTGTATTTCTTTCTAATTTATCTTGTTCCTCTTTCTGACTCTTTTTCTCTTGCTCCCTCTTTTAGATTTGCCTGTATCCCTCTCTTATGTCTGTGTCTCTTGTTCCCTCTTGAGCTGGCTCCACCTTCCCCCTGTCTTATTTGTCTTTGTCCCTCTGTGTGTTTCTTTATTTTTCTCCCTCTCCTAATTCTTGTAGATGTGTCTCTCTTTTTCTTCCTCTCTGTGTGGGTGTCAGGTGTCAGTATGTGTTCGTCTGCTTGTTTGTCTGTATTTTTGTGTGTGTGTTTGACTGCATGTGTGTCTATGTGGCTGTATGTATGTGTTTCAGTGTGTGTGTGTATTGTCTACATGAGTGGGTGTGTTTGTCCGTGGGAGTGCATGTGTGTCTCAATGCATGACTATGTATGCCTGTACGTTTGTATCTATGTATGTAATGTATGCATGTATGTGTGAGTGAGTGGGTGAGCGTATGCACGCACGAGTTTTTGCATGCACTTGACAACTCATGCTTTTGTGTTTTTTTATAATGTTCATAATATGTATATCATCATATGATCATAACATGCTTTATTAGTAAAATACAACTGTTGTGCGATAGATGGTTGACTGGAAGGGCCGAATGTAAGACGGGCCTGCGTTCCCAATTTGTGACCCTTTGAAAATAAAGTTGGTTGTTCTCTCTCTCTCTCTATCTCCGTATCTTTTTTTTAAAACCTTTTTTGCGTCACCAAATTGTGGATTAGGAGGGAAGAAATCAGGAGCTTGGGGGCAGTGGTGACATTTCCGAGAAAAATGTTGCAAATACCTTCAACATGTAGAGTAGCTAACAGTTATAATCTGGAAAAGGCTGTCGCCACCGACTATGCATGTTAGGGTTTTATTTTTGCCCCCGACAGAAACAATTCCAAATCACCAAGGATTTGAACCTATGCCTCCAGCATGAGAGCTCAGCCTCCTAACCATTCTTCAGGCACTCCTGTAATGATGATATATGATGCAGTGATTTTATTATTTGAAAATTTTGTTTGAATTTACAGGGGTTTGGAGTGGCAGCGAAATCAACACTGGCAATCAGAAACTGCGACCCGATGACTATTGTGGTGTTTCACCAAGGAGATACCGGAGAGTATATTAGAAATGAGGAGTTTTTGACGTGATCACCGATGACCCAATGTTTTGTGTTGACTGATTTCACTTTCATTACATTCATGTTTACATTGTAATTATTTTACTGTTTTGTGTTGGTGTGTGTCGTGGAGTTGTCTCTATGTGTTTGCAAGGCTCAAGTACGAGAGTTACCGGGGAACATCTGTGACAGATCGACAATGTACAAAACACACCCGCAACACGTGTAATATTCTCATGAGGCTTTTTTGCAGCTGTAGTGTCACAGCTCTGGTAATAGGGTCTGTACTTACGGCCCAAGCCGAACTGCCCCTAAAGATCCTTTAGATCATTTGAATTCTTTCACTATAAGTTCAACGGTTCCATCTGGCACCCAGGTCCCGGTGGTTACCCATAGTTCCTGCTTTAACTTGCCCATGTGGATCCGCTGACGGCCCCGAGGTACTTTGTTCAAAATGACATAATGCCAACCTGCGGAGACGGCACCTTATTAACTTCTTCTTTCTTCTTTGCGTTCTGGTTGTTCATCTTAAGTTTATGGCTGGTGACACATCTGCATGGACAGCAGAAAATAATGCTGCAGTTTGGGACCGTGTGGCTCTTCTAGTACGAACAATTGGACTTCCAGTATGTAGACCAAATTATCATATAGAAGACAGAAATAACACTTCAACAAATGGCACGGTCGAGGAATCGTCAGTCCATCTCCTTAAAGTCAAAAACATCCTCCAACTTTTTTTTCCTGTTCCATCTGTGGGTCTCCGTGCTCAGCGTACCCAGTAGAATTGGCTGCCATATCTACTTTCTTGCAACTGGTTTCTGCATGCGTGTTCTCTTTGTCTTATCTTCTCCGGAATGTATAGCATTTAGTATGTTTACCATGTCCATACTTCTTCCTCCGCTAACCACTGCAAACACAGCCAGTCCTGCCCGGTGTGTACAGCTAAGATTGATTCTTGAGGCGGAATACTGTCAACACATCTAGTCGGATTTTGCCAGGCGTTTTTCTTAGGCATGTTCATTGAGTTTGTCGCTGTCAGTCAATACCTGAGTTGCTTTTTGTTCTGCCAGTCATGCAACTGTCGCTAGTACAGCTGATATATTCATCGTCATGCTTTACTTTCTTCTTTTACTGTCTTTTCGTTCATCTACGTGTGAATGCCCACCCACACAAGAAGAGGTTTTAATGCATTAACGCAGGCGATAAGAGGCTCGCTTTCAAATCCAGCTGCAACCCACGGCTGGTGTTCGAAAGCGGGTGGTTCCCGGGGTTCACCCAGCCTCTAGAAAATGGGTACCAGAGGGGTAAATGGAGGAACGTTGCTGTAGCTACAGAGTTACGTGCGAACGGCGACACAGGCGGGCAATTCTTAACTGCCCGAACTGGTGGCAGAGCACTTATGGTTTTTAACTGTGTGCAATGACGCTGGTTCACATCCCCCCGACTTTACATTTTTAAAAGAAGAAGAATAAGAACATCAGAAATATATTAAAAACATAAATTTTTTGTTGAAATAAATTCGATAAGAACTAATTATTTTATTAAAAAAAGAAATTAGGTGGATGGGATTGTCTTGTCATGCCTGGGGGGGGGGGGGGGGGATTGATGTTTGACATTTGAGTAAGATCATTAACAAATGATGACCGACAACATATGACTTTAAAAGGAATAGCAGGTGCTTATCATGGATTTTCTATCCAGGAATTTCGGGTGTGCAAGGGTACGAGCAGATTAATAGATTGGCTGCTGCTGCCGCCTTTCTGGATGGCGAGCTTTATTTGTCCAGCTCCTCAGGGGATTTTACTCTGTTTAGAGAAACATAGGCTTGGCCTTCTGAAAACAGTTTGTGGCCTAGATTAATCTGCTGTGCTTCCTTGCAAGTAAAGTAATTATTTCACTAGACAAATATATTTCAGTCACTGGTAAATAAAATATTGGACATCAACAATGATCACTAAGAAACAAAGGTTTTAATATATTTTTTCACCGTCATCCACAAAGCATGTGTATGCAAAGTGGCAGCACTGTCGCTTTTGGGTAAATAGTATAAAAATATCGAACACAAACGGCCGCCCAGACAAACAAACTAGTTCAAACTTAATAAAATCTTATAACAATAATTATCGGGAAACAGTATAAAAACCGAACGCAAACTGCTGTCCGGACAAACAAACCAAAATGAATAAAAGACTTTAACAATAAACACGTTGATGAGGTGCAAGTAATAATTGCTTGAGGACATTAATTGTCTGGTAATCTTAGTTTCAGCTTCATAGCAAATGGGTCACCCCATCTTTGCTCCGCTCCTGTGCCAATGAAAAACATACAGAATGTTTATCACAGTTCCTTGTGGAAAGATTGACAGATTGCTGTCTGAGTATATCTAGCATACACAAGCATTAAAGCATACGGTAGCCATCCGAAGTGCTAACACAAACACTAGAAATGCAATTCATCTTTGATGGTAGCAGTCACCAACAGATCGGCAGTTGCCCACGCGATCACCACCAACATTGCGACGACAGTCATCGCACCATTTTCTGAATCTACAATTCACACCGCCACATTGGTCAGTCGAAAAAAAACATTCCAAATGAAATCCGCAGCTCACAGTGTCACGCCATGCATTCAACTTAGAAGCTGGGCGACGAAACTATATCCAGTCTACAAATAGAGCAAAAATGCAACGGCCACCGTCCGGCAGAAGTAAAAAATTTGCCTCGGCTCCAAACAGTGCCCCTGCCTAGCGTCCATTTTGACATTAATTGCATCAAGTGGGAGCCGCCCCAGCAGCTTTGTGAAGGATTAAGCATTACAAAAATGTGTATAGCAATGTTGTTGTTTGTCCATCACGAGTGATGACCACTTTCACCTAAAGTAGTAATGATCAATGATTATAAGTACGAAGGTGGCTGATTAGTCCAATAGGAGCCAGGAAAGTTCTTTGCAGTACGGACAATAGGTGAAAGCCGCAGTAAGTGTGGGATTAGCAGTACGGTTCTTTTAGTCTGCCTCCGTTTCTCTGCATGTGCAACCTCATCTGCCTGGCAGGGTATAGCCATAATGTAAAGGACACAGAATTTCAATTCTGATCAAATATAATTTTAACTACGATAGAAAGGTGGTACAAGGGACAAAGTTCCCAGTTAGACATTACGTCATGACCTTGAAACTCAGACATTACAAACTCATGTGGATCAGTCAAAGTTATGGTGGTTTGGACATGTATGCAGAATGGGAAAAAACCGGCCATCACGACAACAGACATGGGAGGCCAAGAATCAGGGAACCAGACCTCCAGGGTTTGCTGAAAAGACAACATCCAACAGTCCCTGACTGACAATCGAACTGAACAAATTTAAAAAGAAAACCTCTGCGTGGTCTCGAGGCATGGTGTCCGCCCTGCGTGCTAGAGGTTCCGTGTTCAAAACCCAGGAAGGGCTGTGATTTTTTCACGTGGACTTATAGACTTCTAGTTATTCCCCCTGGTCTCTGGGTAGTGAGATCAGACGCCCGTGTGTATTGTTGCGCATTTAAAGAAACTCCCTTGACAGTTGGAAATAAAAAAAAGAGTAGCCTAACAGCGCTGCCAGGGCAAAATTTGGAGTTAAAAATCTACCCAAAGTATTTCAGGATGCTCGTCGGTGCTACAGAGACTGCACTGTGTTGAGCTTCTTCGGACTGGGACTTCAGTTAGAAGAATAACGGAGCACTTTTGGGTTACACCTGTGTGCCATGATGTTGATCTGTTGTTGAAACCTCAAACATTTTCAAAAACATATGGTATACTATTCCCGTCGGTTCGATGCGAACGCTTCGTAATGCCGTGATGCCGGGTTCGATCCCAGCTGCGGGCCTTGCGTTGGTTTCGACAGTGGTATCAAGAAAGCCGATCGTCCAGGAAGCAATAGCAAACTACTGTAAATTTGCCTAGAAAAACAACACAACAGCCAGGGACTGTTGCGGTTGGTTCTGCAACGTCCTGTAAAGGATACGCAACTAACCTTAGATACTATTCCCCAACAAATTTCGGCAGCCCTGTCGTAGCCCCCAAACACAAGAGAGCTCCACAAAACGGCAACACGTACAAACAGTCGCCAGCGGAAAGACTAATAAACTTTATAATCAATAACATGGAAAGTCCACGCAAACATATATTTTGTTAGCTAGATTCTTACTTTACTGACGAATGTTTGTAAATTTGCAGGAAATGAACAGAGAAGTAGTTATATTCACAAATTTCTTGTTGTATCTAGCGGGTGTGAAGTGACAACATGGCCTGTGTCGTCTGCTATTGTTCTGTCTGTGCCGGCAGGTGGAATATGTTGAGACATTTCTAGCACACAGGTCCGACCCATTCATGCTCCGTCTTCATATGAAGCAGCCATCTCAGTGTCTCCATGCTCAACGTATCCAGTAGGAGTTGACTGACATTTCTTATTTGTTTCTCCCGAAACCTGTTTCTGCATGCTGGTTCTCGATTAATAGTCCGTTTTCCCCGTGTGGGTTCCAGTGCCCTGTTATATGGAAAACAAGAATAGACCCACCGCCTGCCCAAAAGTATGTCGTAAGAGTCGACTAACTGGGAGCTTTTTTCAAAGTCGGAGTGCATCTACTTGAGAGGCAAGAAACCAGCAGTCTGCATACAAATGAGTTAGATTTGTAAAACGGATGCACACGCAGCACTCTGGTTCTGGAACAGGACTGCAGTCCACAAGTGGATGAACAACAAGAAGAAGAATACCCGTTTTATACAGACTTTCCATTGTCTGTTGCCATCTGGTCGATTATCATTAACTGTTTGAGTCCCAATAGCATAGCAATAGAAATGACTGACACTGAAACAAATCACCTTTTCACTAATTTTTATTCTATTTGGGCCAGGTGACTTTGCTATCGCTGTACCCTTCACGTGAGGTACACATTAGAGCTATCCCTCATCAAAGTTTGACTCTTCAAACCTTGTATAAATCTAATATACACATGCTTTTTTAAATTTGAGGCTTCTAAACCCCATTGGGGGGTTGGAAAGACAGAAGAAGAAGACACACCATGCGATACTTAGGACCGAAAGAGTTAATAAGAATGAATCTAATATTGCTGGCAGCAATAGCATACAGCAGGAGAATGGAAACTCCATGTGGCAGAGGGAGACACACAAGAAGATGGATTGAAGGAGTCACTGACAGCATGAGACCACAGTATTACAGCATACTAAGTAATCGAGTGAGCCCTAGTTCGGCCATCTGTTCAACTGAGATAATCGAGTGAGCCCTAGTTCGGCCACCTGTCATCTGTTCAACTGAGATATGTAGCAGCCCAAAGCAAATACTGACACAAGATATAAAAAATCCTCAGCTCAAGCTTATATTTCCAATCAAGATATAAAAGATCCTTAACCCAAACTTGTATGTCCAATCAAGATATAAAAGATCCTTAACCCAAACTTGTATTTCCAATCAAGATATAAAAGATCCTTAACCCAAACTTGTATGTCCAATCAAGATAGAAAAGATCCTTAACTCAAGCTTGTATGTCTAATCCATCAACAGATCTCATAAGAGAAGTAACTCTATGCTCCCTGCTGATCACGCAGACCCAGGATCGGACCCACTTGTCCCACTTGCATCCATGGCTCCAAGTGGGAGAAAAATATCCGGAACAGGCCATACTGAAGGCAGCCTACGAGAGGATCTACCTTGCATATCTCTGTTGATTTTTCTCTACGTCTTACAGGGGATTCCTCTCGGATTGTCTGGGAGTGTACCGATGCTGTTGCAGAGCAGAAAGGTGAGTAGCCCATGTGATATCATCATCATCATCATCATCATCATCAAATGCCTTGCTGAATTGTGTTGGCGATCTTGCCTCTCCACAACTTGCAATCTGATACGGCATTCATCAGTTCAGACTTTCTGTATGAGTTCTAGAGCCCCATTTTGGAGAGGGGCAAACTAAAAAAAAAATAGATCAGTTCCTCAGGAAACCACCAGCCCCAGCACAAGACGACTATTTTATTATGGCTAGACCAGAACAAGTCATTTTCCTCGGCCTCAGAACAGGCACAACTGATTACGTAACCACATGTACACACAATTCAAGATAGGCGTATCAGCCATGTGCACCTGTGGAAAGATGCCCCAGTCAGCAGGGCATATACTCCAGGACTGCACCGAATTTGACACATTAAGGTAAACCTTTTGGCCAGAAAGAACAACAGCGGAACGTAAACTCTATGGACCACTGAATGAACAGTGAAATTTATACAAGAGACAAAATTGCTGATATAGACAACTTATTTCAGGTGAACGAGAGAAGAAGAAGATCAGTTCCTCTAAATAAGCATGTCATAAAAGGTAAGTGCCTTGAGTGGGTACCGGGTGCTGTCCTGGGAAGTAAAGGTGGTCGGCGTGATGCTGACCACATCACCCATCTTGTGCCGTTTGGTCTATAAAATATAGGTCTAGCCCTATATGCCCTATACGCCTAAAGGCCTGGAGAAGGGTCCTTTACTTTACTTTTTTTTTTAAATGTAAGTAATTAGCAGTTTATTGTATCCGGATGTTTTGGTCTGATAGGTACATAAGTAAAACTTTGATTAACTGTCACTGTCCGGACCAGGACTGTGACGGATAATCGAATAAATGAATAACAGAAATATCTTAATACATATGTACAGTAACATATTATGGGTATTGTATTATAATATAAAATGTATATAGTAATATAACGTATTACAGTGCACTTACGAGTTACACCCGTGTGTCATGATGTTGATCCGTCGACTAAACTAAATTCAACCAGTAACGTATTATGTTGGACTTTCTAGTGAATCTCCTGCGAAATCTCAGAGCCGCCTGAGATGGGATGAAATAAAAAAAATTGAACTATTTTTCCAAAAAGGGCAGAGTAGTTTCCCTTGACACTGGAACAGAGCAACTGTGGGGTGACCCGTGTGCTATGTAGCCGGAACTGCATTTACCTGATATACTGGTACTATGACCCACTTTTGATTGTCCATACTCCAAGGTGAGCTACACAGATCAAGCAGTGTTTAGCCTCGTCTTCTGGCCCTTCAGCGTCAAACTGCTGTGGGCACCGCTGGTGGATTCCATCTACGTGAGGTGGTTTGGCCGTCGCAAAACCTGGCTTATCCCTGTACAGTATCTCATGGGTACGTAATGTGTCAGTCTTGTGTTTCAAGTGAGAAACTGTTTGATTGGTTGTGTGTGGGGATTGATTATTTGTGTGAGTGTGGATTGATTGATTGTGTGTGGGGATTGATTGTTTTTGTGTGGGGATTGATTGTGTGTGGGGATTGATTGTTTGTGTGTTGGGATTGATTGTTTGTTGTGGGGATTAATTTTTTGTGTGTGGACCTGCTGGTTTCTAAATACTTTACTTTTTCCTTCCTCTTTCCTTTCCCTCCCTCTTCTTCCTTTTTTCTTTCATCCACTCCCTTGCTTCATTTCTTCCTTCCTTAGTTTCTTCCTCCTCTCCCTCCCTACCTGCCTCATTGTGCTTTTCGTTCCTGCTCTTCTCTAGACATTTCTGTTCGCCCATCTCCTGTCTGTGTTTTTAACTTTTCTTTAACTTTCTTAGTCTCATGCCAGTTGTCTTTACTTCACAGAACATTACCTAGACATCCAAGTGTGGGTTCCGGATTCCGGGGCCCTATTGTAGGGAAAAACAAGAATAGACCCACTGCCTACCCAGAAGCTTGTCGTAAGAGTCCACTTATTGAGAGCTTTCTTCAACAGTCTGCACACAAATGAGTCAGATCTGTCAAACAGATGCAGACGCAACACTCAGGTTCTGGAACAAGACTGCAATCTAGAAGTGGATGAACAACCAGGGCTTTTCGCCAGAGTTTACAGCTGGTGAACGCGAAGAAGAAAAAGAAAATTACCTAGAAATTAATTAATTCCTTATTCATTCATTCATTCATCAGTTCATTCATCAGTGCACTCATTCATTTATCATTCTGTTCATCAAACCATTCATCCATATATAAAACACAGATGCTAATTTTTTTTGTTGTTGAGTGTGTTGGGTGGGGGAGGGGGGGGGGGGGGGGGGGGGGTGTAGTGGGGGGGGAGTTATGAGAAGGAAGGGACTCAAGAGTTTGGTGACGACTGGCAAGATTGATGGAAAGAGAGAAGTAGGAAAACAAGGAGACAAACACCTGGATGGCTTGGCCTGATGTATTGGGCGAAACAAGAACATTGACCTGTTCTGTGATTCTGTTGATCGTGTGAGATAATGAAATAGAGCAGCCTATTCTTACTGGCACAGCACATGATGATGATGATTTTTCAGACCAATCATCCATTCATCAAATCACTCAGTGATTCATCAGTGCATCAAATCATTCATCAATCCAATCATTCATTGGGCGTAAACAAACTAAACCACCCGTCTTCTTTTGCTTTCAACATCAGTCATGCTAAACATTGAGTCCCGTCTGGGTCACAAATAGGATTGTGCGTTTAAGGTCGCCACCAGTCCCCTATAACTTCCCTTGCAATGTTAGATCCACAGTCTTTGCTGGGAGAGGTAAGGGCAGTACTGTAGTATGTGCTCAGGGGTCTGTCTTTCTGCTCCACAATCACAGGCAGCAGATTCTTTTATGCCTATCCTGTACAGGTGTGCTCGAAGACCACAGTGTCCTGTCCGAAGTCTACAAATTGATGTTTGTTCTGTCCTGTTGAGTTTGTTAAACCTTCCGTCCTGCTGCAGGCCTGTTCATGCTGATTCTGTCAACACAAATCACATCGCTTCTGGGCAGCGGCGCCAACACAGCCCAGTCTAGTGATGTCAGTATTGTGGGCCTGACTGCGATCTTCCTCTTGTTGAACTTTCTGGCAGCTACGCAGGACATTGCGGTGGATGGCTGGGCCCTAACTATGTTGTCAAGGTAACAGTTTCGTTACCCTGTATGTTGTTGTCTCGACCTCTGACTTTGTTACTTATCTTCTCTGTTAGTCCTTGAAAAGCCATTGACAGGGTATGTAGTGGTTTACAACAAGGCTGTGATATCACTTTTTATGGCATGCATGTAAGAGGGGCAGTAGTGTTATTTATTCTTTTTCCTCTTAAATTGGCGCTTTAGAACCCAGATAATGAAGATTTATCATATATGTCGTTGACTCTTTCTATATTGTCAAAGTTATGCTTTTTTCTCTTAAATTGGCGTTCTTCTTCTTCTGCGTTTATCTGAAGATGTAATTGCGTTGTGTCCGTTTACAGCATGGCTGCGATATTTGCACCTTTCAGCCAACGTATCCGACTTCTGTCATTTGTTGAGTGGGTTGGCCTTCCCGGAAATTAGAATTCTTGTACCCACATAGGTAAGATAGTTTACCATAAATGTCGTTATCTCTTTATATGTTAGCAAAGTTATGGCTTTCCTCTTAAACTGGCAGTCTACGACCCACATGGGTAAGATAGTTTACCATATATGTTGTTATCTCTTTATTTGTTAGCAAAGTTATGGCTTTCCTCTTAAACTGGCAATCTAGGACCCACATAGGTAAGATAGTTTGCCATATATGTTGTTTTCTCTTTCTGTGTTGTCGCGTTATGCTTTTCTCCATGTGGATTCGGGAGGGGGGGGGGGGGGGGGCATTTTTTGGCAGACCCACTGTCCCCATGCAAGTGTGTCCTATAAGGAGACTAACTAAACTCAGAGGAAAAGCTAGACAGGCATATGACCAGATTGTAACCGGTACCATCAGTATTGGAATTCTGTGCTGGCTGTTGAAGATGAGGATGGAGCATGCATAGGAATGCCCCGAGTGCTGTGATGTCAATTCTTGACTCAACTCAACTCAGCACATAAGGTGACTAAGGCTGTACAAGAATACAGAACCACACATGTGCTCTTGCTGTACCGGCACCAGAACTCATACTTGTTAAAATCTACCTTCATCTTTCTGTGGCCGTCTTAGAAATAGCTTGCCAGTCAGTAGCCTAAGCAGCGAAGATAGAATCAACATTTACTTCAAAGTCCATGCGCGTGTGTCTGAGAAGTGGAGGAACCAACAGTCTGCGAACAACTAAGCCAGATCTGTAAAACGGATGTATATGCAGAACTCAAGTTTTGGAACAAGACCAAAGTCCAGAAGTGGGGGAACAACCAGGACTTTCCACCAGAGTTAACAGCCAGTGAACACGAAGAAGATGCAGAAAAAGCCATAATTGCACTCGGGTCATTCCCATACATGCTCCGTCTCCTTTCTTCTTGCCTCCTTGCGGCCAGTGAAGAGTACCCATACTGATGATGCCAGTTGTACCCTGATAAAAAGTTCCAAATTTTCTTTCTGTGGGTAGAAAATCTTTCAGACCCTCCGCTCACTCCCAGCTGTATCAGTCTCTCCAGATATGTGTTCTATGTCTGTTCTGATGCACTATTTACTTGATCCCATCAAACAAAGAAGTTCGCTATAAAATTATACAGCACATTGGCAACTATGAACCTCTTTTAACTATAGTGAAAAGGCAAAAAATGCAATGGTTCGGACATGTAAAAAGATCTAACAGCCTCTCAAAAAACAATACTGCAGGGCTCAGTAGAGGGGAAGAGGAGAAGAGGCAGACCAAGAAAGACCTGGTTACAGAACCTGACTGACTGGACAGGCCTCCGGCAGGCAACCATGACGTCCATCGCAACTGACCGCCAAAGGTGGAGAAAGATAATCAGAAAGTCAACAGAAACTGGTGACCCAACGACACGTAGCATTATGGGATGATGATGATGATGATCAATCTTCACCACATCCAATTTATTGTAAAGTATCTATCTCCTGCCAAGAGGCAGCAGCAGCTAATCTATAAGCCTGCTCATTACCATGTACACCTGAATATCCTGGGCACAACAGTCCATAAGATTCCTATCTGAGTGTTATCAAGTCCCTCTGAAAGCAAGACTATAGTTTATATTTTTCAAAGCATGCTGTACGAGTCAGTTGAAATTATAACATGTTGGGCTGTACTACTCTCCATCTGCCAGAAGCTGCTGTTACTGCCTCCACCTCCATTCTCATACTAGATGTTGTGACACTATACACAAGGCTTTCTTTTGTGAATAATTTCCATTCTTCTTTACAGTTAAACCCGTTTATATTTAAATATCCAGAAACCATGAGTTGTCAACCATTTGTCTCAGTACTATGCATATCGCAACCCTTTGGCCTTGATTCCATGGTAGGTACAGTAAATCTGGGAGAAATGTGGCTTTTCTGCCTACCCCCGGGAGTGAACCTGGGCCACAAGGAGTTCACCACCCGGTCACTGTGCAGTCAGGTTTAACCAGGTGAACTAGCGAGCTGGCTATTGGTGTATATAAATATGTCACCTGGGTGTGAATTGTTCTTAATCAGTTCTTGCATTGATGCTCCTACCAACTTTGAAGATGTCAATGAGTAGTATGTTTGCTAATGATACATTGCAGGAATAGAAAATGGAAAAAGAAATAGAAGGTGGAAGAAGGAATAGAAGGTGGAAGAAGGAATAGAAGGTGGAAGAAGGAATAGAAGGTGAAAAAGGAAAAGAAAGTGGAAGAAGGAATAGAAGATGAAAAAGGAAAAGAAGGTGGAAGAAGAAATAGAAGGTAGGAGAAGGAATAGAAGGTAGAAGACGGAATAGAAAGGGGAAGAAGGAATAGAAGGTGGAAGAAGGATTAGAAGGTTGAAGAAGGAATAGAAGGTGGAAGAAGGAATAGAAGGTGGAATAACGAATAGATGGTGAAAAAGGTATAGAAAGTGGAAGAAGAAATAGAAGGTGGAAAAAGAAATAGAAGGTGGAAGAAGGAATAGAAGGTGGAAGGAATCGAAGGTGGAAGAAGAAATAGAAGCTGGAAGAAGAGATAAAAGAAAATTGGTTAACATATTATTAGTCTGGCATAGAAAGTCTAAAAAATCTGCAGATGATATTTTTGATCTGGTACAGAGCAAACATTGGATGGGCCAGTACATGTAACTCGGTGGGACAGACCGCAGGCTACTTCCTGGGAAATGTTTTGTTTCTAGCTCTGGAGTCGCCAGATTTCTGCAACAGCTATTTACGAAGTGTGCCTCAGCCGTATGGCATTATAACATTTTCAGGTAAGTCAGTTGATTTAACAGTTATCTGCGTATCCTTTACAGGATTTTGCAGCACCAGCTGCAGTATTTTTGTGTGTGGTCTGTTCATGATTTTCCAAGGCAATTTTTTGCTCAGTAAAATTACGCTCACTTCGGTTGGTCTACTTAGAGTAATTTGTTTTGATTGTGCCGTCTCCACATTGTGCTACCACAAATCCACCGCTGTCGTTAAGAAAAATTGCGTGGTGCGACCCAGTTCTCTTCCTATGGTTTGGACATGTGTGAGGACTATCACCAGACGGTGGACCACAGAGAGCATTGTTGCTTAGACAGAAATCAAGCAGAAATCAAACAGCTCGGACATATTTCAAGACTATGACAGGGTAATGCATCACAGAGAACGCTGTCACTTATGATAGCAAAAGCAGAAATCAAATGGTTTGGTCATATGTCAAGACTACCACCAAATAATGCATCAAAGAGAGCACTAAAGTCCAGAACTGGATGAACAGCCATAATTTTCCACCAAAGTTTACAGCCGGTGAACGCAAAGAAAAAAAGGGAGAAGACTAAGAGGAGGAGGAGGAAGAAGAAGAAAAAGAAGAAGAAAAAGAAGAAGAAAAAGAAAGGTGAAGAAGAAGAAGAGAAAAAAGGTGAAGAAAAAGAAGAAGAAGAAGAAGAAGAGGAAGAAGAAGAGGAAGGAGAAGAAAAAGAAGAAGAAGAAGAAGAAGAGAAGGAGGAGGAGGAGGCAGCAGTAGCAGACAGCTCCTCAATATGATAGGATGCATATGGTTTTGATGACAATAACAGAGAAAAAAAGAAATTTAAAAAAAAAAAAGGAAAATTTGTCAAAGATGTAAAAGCAAGAGAGTCACATGAATAACACTGACAAAGAAACAAAAAGCAAGAGAGTCACGTGAATAACACTGACAAAGAAGCAAAAAGCAGCAGAATCACATAAATGACAATTACAAAGAAGCAAAAAGCAAGAGAATCACGTGAATAACACTGACAAAGCAGCAAAAAGCAGCTGAATCACATAAATGACTCTGACAAAGCAGCGAAAAGCAGCAGAATCACATAAATGACACTGACAAAGAAGCAAACAGCAGCAGAATCACATATATGACACTGACAAAGAAGCAAAAAGCAGCAGAATCACATAAATGACACTGACAAAGAAGCAAAAAGCAGCAGAATCACATAAATGACAATTACAAAGAAGCAAAAAGCAAGAGAATCACATAAATGACACTGACAAAGCAGCAAAAAGCAGCTGAATCACATAAATGACACTGACAAAGAAGCAAACAGCAGCAGAATCACATAAATGACACTGACAAAGAAGCAAACAGCAGCAGAATCACATAAATGACACTGACAAAGAAGCAAACAGCAGCAGAATCACATGAATAAAACTGACAAAGAAGCAAAGAGCAGCAGAATCACATAAATGACACTGACAAAGAAGCAAAAAGCAGCAGAATCACATAAATGACACTGACAAAGAAGCAAACAGCAGCAGAATCACATAAATGACACTGACAAAGAAGCAAACAGCAGCAGAATCACATGAATAACACTGACAACAAAAAATAAGACAAGGTTGAAAATAAAAATGGACAGTGTTTTCACTCAGTGTTGTTCTTGCGCCAGGTTTCTTGTCGTTCTGGGGTATCGTGTTCTTCATCACTACAACTCTGGTTGCCATCTTCAAACAAGAACACATTGACCTGGAGGTCGACCCCGAGCAGAGCATCATGGATACCTACAGAATTCTTCTGAGTGTCATCTGTCTGCCGTCAGTCGTGTCGTACTTAATTATTCTCCTCACATCCAAGGTTTGTGGTAACATTCTGTGCCGTTTACATGTAGCTTTGTTTCATCCGACCCCTTTATTTCATCCACCCCATTTGTTTCATCCACCCCCTTTATTTCATCCACCCCCTTTGTTACATCCGACTCTATAGATACCGTAAGGGGGAATCAAACCTTTCACCTCTAAATGGCGTGTGCACCCCAACTAGGCACCCCCTTTTTTTTTTATGTGGGTATGCAAAAGAAATCGGCCAAATATTTTAAAAGCAGCGCAATTTTTATGGATATTTTTGAGAATGGGTGAACAGTGAGGAGGGGCAGATAGATCATTTCAGTCTGAGGAGAATGGCGCTGCAAGGAGTTACCAGGGGATCTGGCTGACGCTCAACACTCAAGGGAAAGGTGATATGCATATACAATTAGACAGTTACCAGTACCATAGGAATTGGAACTCTTGGCTTGCTGCTGAAGATGGGGACTGAGCACTTTTGGGGGTGTCAGTAGTGCTGTGATGTCGATTCCTAATTCAACATTCAAGATATTCGCTGATGCCTTTTCACGGTGGTTATTGTGCCAAATTAGGTTTCTACTTTGAAACATCTGCTATCGAAAAAGGGAATCTGATTCCTTTCTTTTACTGAACTCTCTTGTTTTATCTGACCTTGAAGGAACATTGGGGGGTAGTCGAAGAAGAGGAGGGCAAAGAAGAAACTGGAATGACAACATCAAGAAATGGACAGGACTAAGTAATCATACACTTATTCATCAAGTATGAGACAGAGAAAGATGGCAGGTTTTATGTGCTAGTGCTTCCGTCAATACACCTCCACGACCCTAATAGGTCAAGGGTTATGTTTTTTTATCTCCCCCCCCCCCCTCTGTTTTACATATCTGACTCATGGGTAGGCAGACTGTTGGTTCCTTGCCTCTCAGGCAGATGCACTCCTACTTCAAAGGAAGGTTTGATCTAAACCTATAAGTTTCATCTGATCACTGTACGCCATCTTAGCTTTGTTTCATCTGATCCCTGTCTGTCATCTAAGCTCTTTGTTTTATCTGATCCCCAAGTATTGTCTTAGATCCTTGTTTCATCTGATCCCCATGCATTTCTGAGATCCATGTTTCATCTGATCCCCATGCATTTCTGAGATCCATGTTTCATCTGATCCCCATGCATTTCTTAGCTCCATGTTTCCTCTGATCCCCATGTGTCATCTTAGCTCCTTGTTTTATCTGATCCCCATGTGTCATCTTAGCTCCTTGTTACACCTGGTCCCCATGTGTCATCTTACCTCCTTGTCACATCTAATCCCTATGTGTCATCTTAGCTCCTTGTTACATCTGGTCTCCATGTGTCACCTTAGCTCCTTGTTTCATATGATCCCCATGTGTCATCTTAGCTCCTTGTTTCATCTGATCTCCATGTGTCATCTTAGTTCCTTGTTACATCTGGTCCCCATGTGTCATCTTAGCTCCTAGTTACATCTGGTCCCCATGTGTCATCTTAGCTCCTTGTTTCGCCTGATCCCATTGTTTTCCGATGACAGGTGGCGTTTGCAGCCAGTGATGCCCTGACCGGACTGAAACTGATTGAGGCAGGAATGCCTAAGGAGCAGCTGGCCCTGTACACTGTGCCCATGGTGCCCCTTCAGGTGATCCTTCCGGTGCTAATCAGCAGGTACACCTCTGGCCCCAGGCCTCTAGAGATCTGGCTCAAGGCCTACCCGTTCAGGTACGTACCTGGATGCCTTGGAAGACAGGAAGTTATCATGGCGGTGTGTGTACAGAAGAGTCGAGGATCTAGTTTCTGACACTGATAATGATGAAAGCAGCTGACCGAATGGTTAGAACACAGGGCTCTCAAGTGAGAGACCCGGGTTTGAATCCTCAGTAAGGCTGGAAAATTTTCTGTCAGGGGCAAAAAAAAAAATCCTCGTCTGCACAGTTGTGGTGACAGCCCTAGCCATATGGCTGTAAATACACAGGCTCAAAGACCCCCTCCCCTGCCTACACATCAAAAGTGGTATAATAAAAGTAGTAATTGGCAGTTTTTTGTTTATTTGGCACATAATGATGATGTTGTTGTTGTTGATGTTGAAGATAGTGATAAGGATGGTGCTGCTGATAATAATGATGGTTATGATGAAATGATGATGAAGATGATGATGATGTTGATGATGGTGCTGCTTATGATGCTGCTGGTGGTTTTGATGATATTGATGATGATGTTTATGATAATAATAATGATGAGCGTGATGAGATAGTGGTCATGATGATGAGGATATTGATGATCAAGAGGAGAGGATGAGAGATTATTTTAGTCGTGATGATGATGGTGGTGATGATAACGTTGTAAAAGAAGCAAAGTAGATGACCCATTTTATGCCCGTAGCACGTAGACTCGTATCTTATAGACCTCTTGGCAATAAGTGGGTGATGTGACCAAACATCATGTTGATAACGATGGTGACATCACCATGTGGGTTTGGGACGGGGAACCAAAATTGTGCATAAAAATAAGCCAGATGTGTAAAAGGATGTGCACGGAAAACTCATGTTCTGGAACAAGTCTGAAGTCCAGAAGTGGATAAACAACAAGAACTGTCCATGAACAAAAATAGAAAGAAAAGGAAGCAGAAGAAGAAGGAGAAGGAAAAGGAGGAAAAGAAGAAGAAGAAGAAGAAGAAGAAGAAGAAGAAGAAGAAGAAGAAGAAGAAGAAGAAGAAGAAGAAGAAGAAGAAGAAGAAGAAGAAGAAGATGGAAAAGAAAGAGGAGAAGGAAGAGGAGGAATAGAAAAAGAAGAAGAAGAAAAAGAAGAAGAAGAAGAAGGTGAAGGTGAAGGAAGAGGAGAAAAAGAAGAAGAAGAAGAAGAAGAAGAAGAAGAAGAAGAAGAAGAAGAAGAAGAAGAAGAAGAAGAAGAAGAAGAAGAAGGAAAAAAAAGAAGAAGAAGAAGGAAAAGAAGAAGCAGAAGGTAAAGAAGAAGAAGAAGAAGAAGAAGAAGAAGAAGAATGATGCAGACAAAAATAATGATGATCATGTCTGCAATAATTTTAGCCACTTGTTACGAAGCTTTCGATATAATCTCCAGCAGATTACTTGTGGGTGTTCTGTATTGCCTGATTGTCTACTGGGCCGACCTGGCACAGACCAGCCCTGGCCACTTCCCCTGGTATTTCTACGCAGTAACGCTCTCATTCTACGCATTCCATCAGGTAAGTATCAAGTAGCATTGCAGCTCTTGATCCAAGTTAAGCCTGTAATCACCAAATTTGTTTTGGAGTTTACATGCTACAGAATAATTCTTAACGATCTTGTTGTAATTTTAACAGACTCAACAGAAAGCAACTTACAACAATTTTTTTTCCATCTTCTTCTTCTTTCATTCGCTTGAAATAGATTATCTACATCCGCAATGTTGTCTCTAGTATGAACTTCACTGTCTTTTGTAATTCACTCAGCGACCCATAAAGTTTGACTTGCACCGATGTTTCTCTTGGCCAAAAGTTTTGTCTTGATATGTTGTATTTGGGACAGTCTTGGAGGACGTGATCCGTTGTCCCAGGTGCCAGTCCACATGTGTACATGGCTGATTCACTGATTTTAAATTTTGTGTACATGGGGCTGTGAAGTTGATTGTGTCCTGTTTTAAGGCGTAGAATAGTAACTTTTTGCCATCTAAAAACAGGACACTGCAGACTCAGCAACCACAGGAATAAAATAAAGAATGTACAGTCCCCACAGTCTGCATGTCAGACATGACCATAAACACCTGAGCACATTCTGCAGACCTGCCCACTCTACCTATAACTTTGAAAAGACACCTGGCCTCAAGAGCAAAGTGTGCAGAGCAAAGCTATGGAGAACCATGAAGGACCTGCTACTGACATGGCATTGGGCCAGAGGGTGAAAGCTCATGCGCTGCTGGATCGATAACAACAGCAACAACAATCTGTTTCTATATCTACTAGACAGAAGTAATGTTAGATGGAATAACGTGTGCAGGAATGCGTAAACTAGGAATTAGGTGTGGTCAGGCAAGAAGCAGCATCTGAGAGGAAGAGGAAGAGAATGACAAGTTTATAATCAGTGTGCTCCCAGGGCAATTAACATCTACACCTTAAGAGATATGAAGACTGAGCACCTGTGGGTATGCCCGATGTCGATTATTAAATCAGTATCTATGTCTCCCCCGTGTGGGTTCCGGGGCCCCATTGTGGGGAAAACAAGAATAGACCCACTGCCTCCCCAAAAGCATGTCGTAAGAGTCGACTAATTGGGGAGCTTCCTTTGAAGTCGGAGTGCATCTGCCAGAGAGGCAAGGAACCAACAGTCTGTATTCAAGAGAATGAGATCTGTAAAACTGATGCACACGCAACACTCAGGTTCTGGAGCAGGACTGCAGTTCAGTAGTGGTCGAGCAACCAGAACTTTCCACCAGAGTGTACAGCTGGTGAATGCGAAGAAGAAGAAGAAGTATCTATGTCTAAATGAGGCCATAGTGACAATTTTGACAGATTAAAGTTGAAAGGTTACAGGTTAAAGTTGAAGGGCTACAGGTTAAAGTTGAAATGTTACAGGTTAAAGCCGAGAGGATCGACTTAATTGCACCAGGCTTTTTTCCATATGGCTTCGACTCTCTAGGCAGAACAGCTAGCCGTCTGCCAAGAGTGCAGCGCATAGCAAGAATCCCATAGCTCCTGTGATGATCCCTAGAAACTGTGAAAATTGCACTCCTGAACTGAAAGGTGCAGCCGTGAAGCGAACCCATGACCTTCACAGAGTGAGGCAAATTACTTGACCACTTTGTCACAGAGACCCCCCTTTAGCTTTAACCTTTAACCTTTTATGATATGCCCTATAGTTGTGCCCATTTCATATTATTTACACCCTGGCTACTAGTTTGGGTCTTTTATTTGCATATGTGACACTTTCTCAATATCAACTACTTCTTCTTCTTCTTCTTCGTTCACCTGCTGTGAATCCGGCGGAAGGTCCCAGTTAATCGTCCGTTTGAACTTTTGGCTTTTACCTGGACCTGAGTTTTGGTGTACAGCCGTTTTACTGGCTTTTGCCGTTCCCTGCCTCACATGCAGATGTACTCCGACTTTGAGGGAAGCAAAAAAAAAAAAAAGGACAATTTTCTACGCCTTTAGGCGTATAGGGCATAGAGGGCTAGACCTATATTTTTATAGACCAATCGGCACAAGATGGGTGATGTGGTCAGCATCAGGCCGGCCGCCTTTACTTCCCGGGCTGCACCCGGTACCCACTCAAGACTGGGTCGACCTGGGTGCCAATGTCATTTTTAAAAAAGTCCGGCTCCGCCAGGAAGCGAACCCACGACCTTCCGATCTGCAGAGAGTGTCTAGCTGCTCGGCCACGGCGACTCCCTTCAAGAGAAGACGTCAGGTCTATTTCTAGCGTGACTGTGGCCATGTATCCACAACTAAAAGGGGATAGTTAGGCAGTGTCGGCCAGTTTGGGTTGAGAGATTACTAAAGAGAAAACCATAGAACACAAACAAGAATTCACTTTGTTGGTTGTGATGTAAAACAAAACAAAAATTGTTATTCACAGGTGACTGTCTACAGCATGTTTGTTGCATGCATGGCCTTTCATGCTAGAGTCAGTGACCCGTCCATTGGAGGCACCTACATGACGCTGCTCAACACCTGTGCCAACTTAGGTACACTTACTTCTTAAAGGTCATTCTGTGTGGTGTTTGTCGTCTGGACTGTCCCAGCCTTCTATTTCCGAGGATGAAAAAATCAGCCAACCAGACATTCAGTAATGGATTTAAGGATAGACCCAGTGCTCCCCCACCTTCCCCCACACAACAAGCATGTCATGAAAGTCGATTAATTGGTGGTAGGGGTGGGGGTGGGTGGGGGGGGGGGGGGGTTCCATTAAAGTTGGAATGCACCCGCCTGAGAGGCCAGGAACCAACAGTCTTCATACAACTAAGCCAGATTTGTAAAACAGGTGTGCATGCAAAACTTAAGTCCTGGAACAAAACTAAAGTTCAGAAGTGGGTGAACAACTAGAACTTTCCGCTGGGGTTTACAGCTGGTGAACACAAGAAGGAGAATTTACTTTCACAGAGTAGGCCAAGGGTCTTTCAGTCTGAGAATTTAAGTAAGGCAAAGACAGGGTCTGAATGTGAAATGCGCTGTCTCCGCAAGGTCTCTTACAACACAAGAAGGGACAAAGGTCCACATGCCAGCATAAGAGGGGAAAGTGGAATAAGACCATGTCTGGATTATATTGACAGGCAAAGAATGAAATGGTTCTGCCATCTAGTGAGAATGCAGCCAGACCACACTGCATATAAGATTTTTTGGCTACCCTCCGACTAACGGTCGGTAAAGATGGCGGGCGCAAAATATCTTTTCAGGCCACAGTCACGTGACTTAATTGCGCACGCTGCTGCTCGTGGGTCCTAGTCATCTAGTTTAGCCCCATTCCAGCCGCGTGAGCGGCGTGCAGGACACATGGCGGTGTCGGCAGTCGCCAGAAAGCCGCAGGATAACCGCAAATTAAGTCACGTGACTGTGGCTCGAAAGGATATTTTGCGGCCGCCATCTTTACCGACCATTCGTTGGAGGATAGCCGATTTTTTTGTGTGCATTAGAACATCTGGGAGGAAAGTGAGGATAAAACCAGGAAACAGACGGATAGATAGAGTGGCTGAAATCTGCAAGAAGATGAACAAATCCATCACCCAAGCCACTCAAGAATGAGTTGAGTTGAGTCAAGAATTGACATCATTGCACTCAGGGCATTCCCATGCATGCTTCGTCCTTATCTTCAGCAGCCAGCGCAAAGTTCCAAAACTGATGGTACCGGTCACAATCTGGTTATATGTCCGTCTTGCCTTTCCTCTGAGTGTAGTGAGCCGGCCAGACCCTCTGGTTACACCCAGGTGCCTCATTCTCTCCAGGCCATAATAATCTTGTTTCTCTACTGATTGCATTAAGCCACTAGAGAAGCGCAAGACAAAATCAGAAAACCACGACACGGGGCTACAACCTGGAATCAGTGAGATGACAAAACCACGATATTGGGCTATGACCTGGTACCAGTGAGACGACAAAACCACGACACTGGGCTACAACCTGATATCAGTGAGATGACAAAACCACGATACTGGGGTATGACCTGGTATCAGTGAGATGACTAAAGAAGAAAGATAGGGTCTATTAATCCCATTAAGTTATTAAGACTTTCTTTGATTACAACAACCAGGTGGTACCTGGCCAAGCACTCTGACTCTGTGGGTTGTCGATTACCTGACGTGGAAAAGTTGTTCAACTGGGGGAGACTGCAGTAACAGTGACCAGGAAAAGGTATTTTGTGGTTGTGTTTGTGTGTGTGTGTAAATTTATTGTCTCTCCTGTGGGTGTCCCGATTTCAACGCCTAGTAATGTGATAGAATTTTTCTCTTCATGGCAAAATAAAACATCCTACCCTGCACAGAGAGTGGCAACAACACCAGACATATGGCCCTAAATCCTCAGTCTCTTGTCCTCCTTGTCTACACCGGCGAAAAAAGTGGTAAACACAGACAGTGACAGTTTAAATTTGTCATCTATTTCTGTTAGATAAAATATTCAGATTATGTCCCATCACTGTTTGGTCATTCTTTATGGTTCAAGGAACCAGCAGTCTGCACACAAATGAACCAGATCTGTAAAACGGATGTACACGCAACAATCAGGTTCTGGAACAGGACTGCAGTCCAGAAGTGGATGAACAACCAGAACTTTCCACCAGAGTTTACAGCTGGTGAACGCAAAGAAGAAGAAAAAGATTTCCATAAGAGGTACTGATTTAATGTTTTGGTTAGGTTTAGGGCTATGTTTAGGGGTAAGATTAGGTTTAGCATTAGTTTTATGTTTGAAATTAAAGTTAGAGTTATGTTGAGAGTTAGGTTTTTGTTTAGGGTTTGAGTTATGTTTAGGGCAAGAGTTATGTTTAGGGCAAGAGTTATGTTTAGGGCAAGAGTTATGTTTAGGGCAAGAGTTATGTTTAGGGTTAGAGTTATATTTAGGGTTTGAGTTATGTTTAGGGCAAGAGTTATGTTTAGAGTTAGAGTTATGTTTAGGGCAAGAGTTATGTTTAGGGCAAGAGTTATGTTTAGGGCAAGAGTTATGTTTAGGGTTAGAGTTATATTTAGGGTTTGAGTTATGTTTAGGGCAAGAGTTATGTTTAGAGTTAGAGTTATGTTTAGGGCAAGAGTTATGTTTAGGGCAAGAGTTATGTTTAGGGCAAGAGTTATGTTTAGGGCAAGAGTTATGTTTAGGTCAAGAGTTATGTTTAGGTCAAGAGTTATGTTTAGAGTTAGAGTTATGTTTAGGGCAAGAGTTATGTTTAGGGCAAGAGTTATGTTTAGGTCAAGAGTTATGTTTAGGTCAAGAGTTATGTTTAGGGTTAGAGTTATGTTTAGGGCAAGAGTTATGTTTAGAGTTAGAGTTATGTTTAGGGCAAGAGTTATGTTTAGGTCAAGAGTTATGTTTAGGTCAAGAGTTATGTTTAGAGTTAGAGTTATGTTTAGGGTTAGAGTTATTTTTAGGGCAAGAGTTTTTTTTTTTAGGGCAAGAGTTATGTTTAGAGTTAGAGTTATGTTTAGGGCAAGAGTTATGTTTAGGTCAAGAGTTATGTTTAGGTCAAGAGTTATGTTTAGAGTTAGAGTTATGTTTAGGGTTAGAGTTATTTTTAGGGCAAGAGTTTTTTTTTTAGGGCAAGAGTTATGTTTAGAGTTAGAGTTATGTTTAGGGCAAGAGTTATGTTTAGGTCAAGAGTTATGTTTAGGTCAAGAGTTATGTTTAGAGTTAGAGTTATGTTTAGGGTTAGAGTTATTTTTAGGGCAAGAGTTTTTTTTTAGGGCAAGAGTTATGTTGAGAGTTAGAGTTATGTTTAGGGCAAGAGTTATGTTTAGGTCAAGAGTTATGTTTAGTGTTAGAGCAGTGTTTTCCAACGTGGGGCCCACACCCCACATAGAAGGTAAGGGGGGGGGGGGGGGGGGGTCAATTTGTTTTGGTGAGGAAAGTGGTAGGGGATGGAAAGGATTCAAAAATTTACTCTTTTGTAAATGTTACCTCAACTAACTACCAACAACTGTTGGAATCCCAACTAACTAAATACAACTATTGGAACCTCAACTAACTACCAACAACTATTGGAATCTCAACTAACTACAAGCAACTATTGGAATCTCAACTAACTAAATACAAAAATTGGAATCTCAACTAACTACAAGCAACTATTGGAATCTCAACTAACTACAAGCAACTATTGGAATCTCAACTAACTAAATACAAAAATTGGAATCTCAACTAACTACAAGCAACTATTGGAATCTCAACTAACTACAAGCAACTATTGGAATCTCAACTAACTAAATACAAAAATTGGAATCTCAACTAACTAAATACAACTATTGGAACCTCAACTAACTACCAATGACTATTGGAACCTCAACTAACTATCAAAAAATATTGGAAACTCAACTAACTACCAACAACTGTGGGAACCTGAACTAACTGTTAACAACTATTGTATAGGCAACACTGAAAGCATTTAAATCATTTCCTCTACTTTGTTCTCAGACGTGTTCTGCTAGTGGTGGCACCTGCTATACATATATTGATGGATACTACCTGTTGACCTTGGTTTGCTCAATTGTTGGTGTCCTATGGCTGAGGTCAAGGTCAAGTCAAGTTCGAAGGTTGGGGGAACTCAGCGAGAAGTCTTGGAAATACAAGAACCAGAATATATGTGTGTGATAATGTGTGGGTTAAGTGATAATGTGTGCGTTAAGTGATAATGTGTGGGTTAAGTGATACTGTGTGGGTTAAGTGATAATGTGTGGGTTAAATGATTATGTGTGGGTCAAATGATAATGTGTGGGTTAAGTGATAATGTGTGGGTTAAATGATAATGTGTGGGTTAAGTGATAATGTGTGGGTTAAGTGATAATGTGTGCGTCTAGTGATAATGTGTGGGTTAAGTGATAATGTGTGGGTCAAATGATAATGTGTGGGTTAAGTGATAATGTGTGGGTCAAATGATAATGTGTGGGTCAAATGATAATGTGTGAGTCAAATGATAATGTGTGGGTCAAATGATAATGTGTGGGTCAAGTGATAATGTGTGGATCAAGTGATAATGTGTGGGTCAAATGATAATGTGTGGGTCAAATGATAATGTGTGGGTCAAATGATAATGTGTGGGTCAAATGATAATGTGTGGGTCAAATGATAATGTGTGGGTCAAATGATAATGTGTGGGTTAAGTGATAATGTGTGGGTTAAGTGATAATGTGTGGGTCAAATGATAATGTGTGGGTTAAGTGATAATGTGTGGGTTACATCCTTTGAGGAAATTAGTGAAGATTAGTTCTTTCAGCACAAGGATGTTTGTAAGGAGATCCTAAGAGAAGAAAAGGAGTTGGTAACAATGAAAAATCAGGTGTGATCTCTTCTTGAAGCTTCTCTCACTTCTTCCTGCTCTTCCTTCGTCTTCATCCATGTCTATAAATAAATTTTGAGACAGTTGTGATCCTAAGTATAAATAAATGTTGTGACAGTTCCGTGTGATCCTAAGTATAAATGAATGTTGTGACAGTTCCATGTGATCCTAAGTATAAATGAATGTTGTGACAGTTCCATGTGATCCTAAGTATAAATGAATGTTGTGACAGTTCCATGTGATCCTAAGTATAAATGAATGTTGTGACAGTTCCATGTGATCCTAAGTATAAATGAATGTTGTGACAGTTCCATGTGATCCTAAGTATAAATGAATGTTGTGACAGTTATGTGTGATCCTAAGTATAAATGAATGTTGTGACAATTCTGTGTGACCTAAGTATAAATGAAAGTTGTGACAGTTCCGTGTGATCCTTAGTATAAATGAATGTTGTGACAGTTATGTGTGATCCTAAGTATAAATGAATGTTGTGACAGTTCCGTGTGATCCTTAGTATAAATGAATGTTGTGACAGTTATGTGTGATCCTAAGTATAAATGAATGTTGTGACAATTCTGTGTGACCTAAGTATAAATGAAAGTTGTGACAGTTCCGTGTGATCCTAAGTATAAATGAATGTTGTGACAGTTCCATGTAATCCTAAATAAAAATGAATGTTAAGACAGTTCAATGTGATCCTAAGTATAAATGAATGTTGTGACAGTTCTGTGTGATCCTAAGTATAAACAAATGTTAAGACAGTTCTGTGTGATCCTAAGTATAAATAAATGTTGTGACAGTTCCGTGTGATCCTAAGTATAAACAAATGTTAAGACAGTTCCATGTGATCCTAAGTATAAACGAAAGTTGAGACTGTTCCGTGTGATCCTAAGTATAAACAAATGTTAAGACAGTTCCGTGTGATCCTAAGTGTAAATGAATGTTGAGACAGTTCCTTGTGATCCTAAGTATAAATGAATGTTGAGACGTTGTTGTGGGATCCCTAAATATAAATGGGTTGTGAGAAGTTGATTTGGGGTAACAAAAAGGTTCCTACTGTTGTTTTTTGATCCCAGAGATGATGAGTTATCTGCTCTTGACCGTCCAGATATTGATATCTAAAAAATGCTTGAAAATAGTTGTTACAAAAAATGTATAATTGATTGTACTAAAGTCAGTATGGCAGCCTAACATTACCTATAAATGATTATACAAAAGTTAATATGGCAGCCCAAGATTATCTATAAATGATTGTACTAAGTTGATGTGGCAGCTCAAGATTATCTATAAATGATTGTACTAAGTTGATGTGGCAGCCCAAGATTATCTATAAATGAATATACAAAAGTTGATGTGGCAGCCCAAGATTATCTATAAATGAATATACAAAAGTTGATGTGGCAGCCCAAGATTATCTATAAATGAATATACAAAAGTTGATGTGGCAGCCCAAGATTATCTATAAATGATTGTACTAAGTTGATGTGGCAGCTCAAGATTATCTATAAATGAATATACAAAAGTTGATGTGGCAGCCCAAGATTGTGTTGTCTATAAATGATTGTACAAAAGTTGTTGTGGCAACCCAAGGTTATCTATAAATGTTGTATGAAAGTTAATGTGGCAGCCCATGATTGTGTTGTCTATAAATGATTGTACAAAAGTTGTTGTGGCAACCCAAGGTTATCTATAAATGTTGTATGAAAGTTAATATGGCAGCTCTTGATTGTGTTATCTTTAAATGATTGTAAGGAAACTGATAATGGGGCACCAAGCTACTGTATTATAACTGATTGTTGAGATATTGTTATTGAGGTCTTAAGGTATTTTTGTGTGTGTGTGTTTGTGTGTGTGTGGGAAGTGTGACATAAAAATGTTTGAAAATGTATTCTGTGGCAAAACAGGTCGCGACTATAGCTAAGACATGTCAGACACTTTCTGAAAAGAAACGGGAAATTACTAGAAGTCCAAGTGAAGAAATCCTAGCCCTCACCGAGACTTGAACCCGGGACCTCTAGCACTTGATGTGGACACCATACTTCGAGACCACATAGCCCCCTCATTTGGTATACGTTATGTTTGGTACACATCCAAGGATCAAGAACAGGTTAAGTACGTATACCGAGGTGTGACCGTATATGGAATTCAGTCCAAACACCAGCGGCTTCTCATGTTACCTTTCTTGAATGGTTTCTCTTGAACGCCCTTGGTAGATGTGTTTCCTATTTCAATACCTATTTTGGTTAATTGACCACTTTGTCTTCTGTTCCTTATAACTGTTAATACCAACGCTGGTTTAGATATGTCTTTGTTGTCTTCCCCTGTCTTCGGTTCATCATATTCATTTATGCAGACTATGCTTCTGTGGCTAAGGCACTGCGAACTCTAACCGACAAGTATGCATACAAGGAGACTGTCGCTTCTTTTCACTGCCCTCCTGCGCTGACACCTTAAGACTGCCCTCATCAAAGCCCGCCCCAAAGTATCCACACTTGGCATCCCACTGCCTAAATTCTGCCCAAGACAAACAGCAGTTCAAACCGAGCCATACAGGTCGGTGAGTAAATTACAGAAAACAGTCAAGTTCATAATAGAGACGACATTGCAGATATAGGTAATCTATTTCAGGCAAAAGAAAGAAAAAGAAGAATAGGAAAATAAATCCCCTCTACTATACTACCTCCCGATAAACTCCATACGAATTCCCTACCAAATCTCGCAGCCTCGAGATGGGGTGAAAAAGCTGAAAAGTGCCTATATTTCTTTTAAATCCCATACTGTCTTCTCAATGAAAGTTGGATGCAGTGCATCCCCTGCTCTCTGTGGCAATAGTACGTGGTGGGGCCGCAATCTCTTCGATGGCGCAACTCCCGCAGCACGCCCTGAAAGCCATTCAAACCGCCCATCTCTTACATTATTGCTTATCTACAAGCTAAACAGGGAATCCCAGTGGCGGAGCGGCTATACGCTCGCCGCAGATCGGAAGGTAGTGGGTTCGCTCCCTGGCGGAGCCGGACTTTTTTTCAAAAAGACCTTAGCTCCCAGGTCGACCCAGCCTTGAGTGGGACCCAGTCCTAGGAAGTAAAGGCTGCCAGCGTGATGCTGATCATATCACCCATCTTGTGCCGATTACTCTATAAAATATGTCTAGCCCTATGTGCCCTATACGCCCCAAAGCGTGGAAAAGAGTCCATACGTTTTTTCTTTACATTCTTAGCTTTCGAAACTTGTTTTTGTTTCAGTTTAAAAAAAAAAAAAAATTCAGATTGCTGTAGAAAAAGGTGCATAAAAAAAAAAAAAGAATGAACCAGGCAATGAATTTTTAGAAAGTTTAATTTAGAAAAAGAAACAGGAATAGATGGCCATAACACTTAGCTCTTGGGAAGTTTCGCACTGGGGAAAGCAATCTACGTAGGACATTCTTACATAGGGCTAGGACATTCTCACACAGGGCTGGTAGGACATTCTCACACAGGGCTAAGACATTTTTACACAGGGCTGCAAGGACATTCTCACACAGGGCTGCTAGGACATTCTCACACAGGGCTGCTAGGACATTCTCACACAGGGCTGCTAGGACATTCTCACACAGGGCTGCTAGGACATTCTCACACAGGGCTGCTAGGACATTCTCACACAGGGCTGCTAGGACATTCTCACACAGGGCTGGTAGGACATTCTCACACAGGGCTGGTAGGATATTCTCACACAGGGCTGCCAGGACATTCTCTCACAGGGCTGCTAGGACATTCTCACACAGGGCTGCTAGGACATTCTCACACAGGGCTGGTAGGACATTCTCACACAGGGCTGGTAGGATATTCTCACACAGGGCTGGTAGGACATTCTCGCACAGGGCTTCCAGGACATTCTCACACAGGACTAGGGCATTCTTGCACAGGGCTGCCAGGACATTCTCACACAGGGCTGCAGGACATTCTCACACAGGGCTGCCAGGACATTCTCACACAGGACTAGGACATTCTCACACAGGGCTGCCAGGACATTCTCACACAGGGCTGCCAGGACATTCTCACACAGGGCTGCCAGGACATTCTCACACAGGGCTGCCAGGACATTCTCACACAGAGCTAGGACATTCTCACACAGGGCTGCAGGACATTCTCACACAGGGCTGCCAGGACATTCTCACAGAGGACTATGGCAATATTTAGTCCTGCCAGTTCATGCCCGAAGTTGGCCTTGCCTGGACTTCTTCACCGATGGTGGTTTGAACAACCATCGTATACTGTAGACCTGAAACATCATTTGAACACGTGGTTATCTACGGCTGCTGCTGCTGCTACAACAACAACAGCAACGACTACTGCTACCACCACCATCATTACTACTACTACTACTACTACTATTACTACTGCTACTACTACTACTACTACTACTACTACTACTACTACTACTACTGCTGCTGCTGCTGCTGCTGCTGCTGCTGCTGCTGCTGCTGCTATGTATCAAATGTGTTATCACAATCGACGTCTTTGCACATTGGGCATTCCCATATGTGCACCTTCCTCTGACACAGCAGTTACCTCAGTATACCATTTCTGATTTTCCCCATGAGAGGTTGGCTACGATATCTGTTATTATGACCTCTAAAGAGGCATAGACGTGCTTCACCAGGCGTCACTCCCAGGTTACACAATCATGTTAGCATAAGAGATTCTTTAGTATCAACCAGTCTAGTCCGAATAGCGTGGATGATGAATGCTCTGAACATGTAACTTTCTGCATGCACCGGTGCAATGGTTGCCGGTTGGTCCACTCGTTCATTTACTTTTTACGTTTGGCTTGCGCGGGTGTGTTAATCCAAAGGAAGGTAGGTGAAGTGCAACTTCCGACTGTTCCTACATTTAGTATTGTCTTTCACATCAGTCAATAGTAGTCGAGGTTTCAACGCCACAGAGGTCAGGTCATCCCCGTACTTGCTCCGTTCTTGTGCCAGTGAAACTCAGATCAAATATCCCTCACTGTCCCATTTGAAAAACTGGTTTAAAAAAAAAGCAATAAATCCCGGCACAATCCAGAAATATGCGCCCACGTAAGACAGTTGATAGAGGCGCCAGAGTCAACAGTCGCACCATAAATGCAGTTTATGTCGTCGATAAAAGTAGTTGTTTACGATAAGCTACCTATTTACACCTAAATTTATTACGAAAGGCATTCACCAACCCACACCTAAACCAGCTCCCCGCCATATTAAATACTACGTCACAACCGCTGCACAAATAAAAGACATTCCACATTTGAATTTAAAAAAAAACCACAGCTCCCAGTGCTGCACCAAGCACTTAATTCGGTAGCGTAGGCAGCGAAACCATTGACTTCAGACCATATGTGAAAACTACATTAGCAAAGCGCTGTCAGGCGGACAAAAACTTTGAAGCTAGAACGTTTTGCCATGCCTGCCCATCCTATTGGGCCGGAAGTCTTCAGGTCAGTAAATGAGGCATCAAAAGCGTGAGATACAGCAGGAGAGACAGAAGCTCAGCAGCAGAAGGATGAAGAAGTCAAGAAATGGAAAGGGAAAGGAAAAAGAAGAGGAGCATATAAAGAAATAAGAAACAGGAGGATGAGAATTTGGAAGCAGATGATGAACAACAACAAGAGAAGAAAAGGAAAACAATGAGATGTAATCACACTAGTAGCAGATGACAAGGAAGAAGCAGAGGACCCACATTTAAAGGGGAAAAAAGAATGAAGAAGGAACCAAACCTGTATTAATGCTGAAGCGACAGTAAGAACACATTGCGTCAAAGACCATTTGTAGACATAGTCTTCATTGGCTGTCACATGGTCGATGTCCCTGAGTATGTTGACTCTACAACAGAAACACATCTTTGTCAACTGAGCTGAAATGTGAACAAAAACTTTAATCAAGAAACCCTAAAAACCAAACTCTGCTTACAGAAAGTGTGTCCGTCTGCGGCTGAGTACGGGAAAGGAAGTGACGGCGTATGTCCCTGCCGAAGGGCACAATCTGCAGGAAGACAATGTTGTGTTGGTGGAAGGAGGTCGACTGCAAGACACGCCCGGCGTTAAGTTGGTGTGTATCCGAGGCAAATACGACTTGCCACACGTGAAGAAAAAATAAAAATGTATATGAACTGTTTTTGACAAACTAAAAGAAGAAGAAGAAGAAGAAGAAGAAGAAACATGCAATAGATTGCACAATTTATTGCCCGGCATATTTCTTTGTAACTCTTCAAGTGCTAACTACACTAACAGTTCATTAAATTGAAACAAATAAATACATCTTTCCAATTGAAACACACAATGGACTACATTCAAACGTAACTGTATGTTTCACCAGGGTAAACGCAAAGGGAAGACCATGTCCTTTTGTCGGCATAATTCTGGCCTGAACCGTTTTATAGCGGTTGCTTCCATAAATCGCAATAATCTGCGGTTGGCTGAGATTTAAAGAATTGTCGATATTTATCATCCTTGTTTACAGTGTGCCAGAATTAAAAATATGGCGCGCAATGGCTGAGGAGTAATTGCTTTAAAGTCGTAAATCGCAGTTCCATCTTCACACCAAACGGGTCACATTATAATTGACACGTTCTAACGTAACATATACGAAAGCCACAAAATATACCCTCCACTGTCCCGTGTGACACGTTAAATAGACGACAGTTCTAACAAAGCCAACAGCACGCACACGCATTAAATGCAAAAGGCGACCGCTAGAGGTGCCAAAACCAACAGTCTGCCGCTGGATTTATAGTTGAAAGGAATAGAACAGTTAAACTGAGGCTATGTGCAGCTATTTTGGGCTGTTGTTGACACACCGGACACCCCAAATGCAAGGACAGCTTTTTAACGACTTCGAGGTCAGATCAACGGAGATTCCCAAACAGTTAGGGCATTGAACTGTTGGGAGGGAGATCAGGGTTCGATCCTCAGCAAGGGGTGCGGATTTTTCTACCTGTAAGTAAAGATCCCTTTTCACGCCTTTAGGAGCATCGGGCTTATGGGAAAAGCACCCACATTTTTACAGACGAGTCGGCACTTGGTGGGTAATGTGGTCAGCATTACGCCGGTCGTCTTTACTTCCTGGTACCCATTTTAGGCTGGGTCGCCCCATACCATGATGAAAATCCAAGCAGCCAGCAGTTGGTTTCGATCGCGGTACCTTTGTCCCAGTAAAAAAAAAAAAAGTATGACCTGCGCAAGGCCTTAATTCCTAAGGCCTACAATCCCCTGTCGTAGCCTCAGTGACGACCCAAAAGGATGCCAAGGAAACTGCACTAATGACCGAACAACACAGTCTGTAAAGCGACATGACTCAACAACATCATTATCATCATCACCATAAACTAGTTTTTGTGTTAAGCATCGTGGGGAGGAAAATTTTGCAAATAATTTTATTCAATTTGTCAGGGTGAGTTTTAACATCATTTTGTTCAAATAAGGATAATCCTGCGACAGGCTTAGCGTACAATGTACAGGACTTTGCAGAACTAACGCCAGCATTTTTTTTTTTTTTTGGCTGTTGTAGTTTTACTTTCAGTAGTTTGCCATTAACTGGACGGTCTGCGCTCAGTACCACCGTCAAACCAACGCTAGGCGAAAAATAACATGCAGCTGGGATAAAACCTGGCACCCCAGCACTACGAAGCGCGTTCGTAAAGCTTAAGCCACAGACGCCACAGCAAGTCAGTAGGGAATTTGTTCACGTGAAATTGCTCGAGAATTATAGAGGATTGAACCCACTGCCTTCAGAAAACAAAGCAAATGGCTTGATCTTGTAACTACTGAAAACCCCTGCAAGATAGCTGTGAGCTAGTGCTCCATCTTGGGAGCGGGAGAAAAAAGGAAGAAAGGAGGGGCATGAAAATACATCACCTGACATGTCTCTGTGCAGTCTTGATGTCCCAGTTCATCTCCCGTATTTTGCCCAATGACATCTGAAGGAAAACAAAATAACAACGATGTTTGTCATTTTTACCATCGCATTGCTCCAAGCGGCAGAGTCCCTCCGTCAGCATGAACAACATCGGTGAAAGCCAAAAGGAAGCCCATGATGGGGAAAAAAGTCTACTGGACGTCAAAACCAAATTAAGAATTGGCTTCTGGAATGTGAGAACCATGTTTGAAACGGCCAAAACCGCCCAAGTAATTTTAAACTGCATATTCTTGGATACCAGAGGGAAAGAGAAAAAAAGGACGACCTAAAACAACACGGAGACGAACGATGGAAAGTGACCTGAGTGCGGCATCTCTGACATGGAAAACTGCACTGAAGATTGCACAGGACAGGAAAGAATAATAAGTCCTCTCTGAAGCGTCTAGGCATAAAGAGAATTGATAGTAGATGATAGATTGTTGGAAGCTACATGCAACAATAACCTTACCTGTTAATTTAACTTTGCTTGAATATGTTAAGCTACATGCAACAATAACCTTACCTGTTAATTTAACTTTGCTGGAATATGTTAAGCTACATGCAACAATAACCTTACCTGTTAATTTAACTTTGCTTGAATATGTTAAGCTACATGCAACAATAACCTTACCTGTTAATTTAACTTTGCTTGAATATGTTAAGCTACATGCAACAATAACCTTACCTGTTAATTTAACTTTGCTGGAATATGTTGACAAATATCAGAACATCCAGCCCGAGTTGAGTCAAGAATTGACATCACAGCACTCAGGGTGTTCCCATGCATGTTCCGTCCTCATCTTCAGCAGTCAGCGCAATGTTCCAGTACTGATGGTACCGGTCACAATCTGGTTATATGTCCGTCTTGACTTTCCTCTGAGTAGTGAGCCGGCCAGACCCCCTGGTTACACCCAGGTGCCTCATTCTCTCCTGGCCATAATAATCTTCTGTCTCTACTGATTCCATTGCTTGTTCACAAAGGGCCTTGACCACATCTGCCTTGTGACATCCAGTCCGATTACACAACAACTAACAACAACACAATTAACAAAATCGCGTCTTGTACACAAATCACACATCATACAGACATGCCTGTAGTACCACCACCACATGTCACACGATCCTGCCTGCAGGACAGTGTGGCTATGCTATGTTATACTATATTATTACAATCGATGCCCCAACCGACTGGGCATTCCAATGCTTGCTCAGTCCTCCCATGCAGCAGCCACTCCAAGGTACCCCTATTGTTAATTTCTATGAAAAGCTGGTTTTCTCCAGTAAATAAACAGAGGGGGGAACCATTTGAGGCCGTTAAATATTATGAATTAATCAAGTAACAGAAAGTATTGTGAACGGCACTCATAGAAAGAAGTAGAAAGATAGATGAACACACTAGACAACATAAAAATCGAAAGCTATAGTTACCGTGCCGGGAATTGAACCTGTCACCTCCAGACGGCGTCTGCGCCTCGCCATGAATACAAGTGCACTAAGATACATGGTCATACATGGGGGTGCCGAGTTGACCATGTATCTTAGTGCACTTGTATTCATGGCGAGGCGCAGACGCCGTCTGGAGGTGACAGGTTCAATTCCCGGCACGGTAACTATAGCTTTCGATTTTTATGTGTTCATCTATCTTTCTACTTCTTTCTATGAGTGCCGTTCACAATACTTCCTGTTACTTGATTAATTGGTTTTCTCCAGGGTATGTCGGTGTGTTGGGAAATGAACAGACATATTTATTGGCTGGTGCTGCACAACGTGGGGGGTGAAATGATGCATAATAAAACTAGATGTTGTAAAGGTTCTGGGGGAGTCGGGGTTTAGAGTGAAAAGTGCTGAAGCACAAATAGAGATCAAGATTCGAGGTGAATGGTGTAACGAGGAATGACCAGGGGATCTGGCCGCCTCTCAACACCCAAGAGGGAAAGGCGAAACGGACAAACAATCAGACTGTAACTGGTACCACTGGAATTGGAACTCTTGCTGCTCAGACCGGTCCCAAGCCGGGCTGTAAAAAGAGGAGGGTCTGGCTGAACCTAAATGATTCATGCGTCTTCGGAAGTAGTTGGTAATCGTGAATCAGCCAGACGGCCTGCATAAAGACCACAAGGAGGCAGCTCCTCCACCATGCAAAGGCACAACAGGACAAACACCTGTTAGCCTAAAACTTCAATTATAAGTTACCACAGAGAGAAAACCGGGCGACCCAGGGTCCGCTGGGAAGAAACATCCGACAGTCCCTAACTGAAAGAGGACTGGAATGGAACAAAGCCAGAAAGAAAACTGCTGATAGAGACTTCTGGCGATCTCTCAGGCAAACCTCTACACCCCAAGGTAGAAGAGGAGCGACTAAGTAAGTAAGCAAATAAGCTGCTGAAGATGGGAACGGAGCGCTTAAGGAAATTTTCCAGCTACTATGATGTAGGTTTTTAACTTGCAACTCATACCCCACGTCACTATAATTCTTACCCTCAAATTGTTAACGGTTTCTGTTAGTTGCTCCAAGGGCTCAATTGTTGCGTTGGAGTCTGTCGGTTCATAAGTGACCATCAGTAGATGTACAACTACGCTGGAGAAGGTGTTGTAGGAGTTGTGGAGACACACGACGTATGTTCCTGCAATGTGAGGATAGCTGAGTCAAATCACAGGATCCAGTGGTACGAAACAAACATTGGTGAGGCGGGGAGGAAAATGGGAGAGGGGGTGGTAGAGAGAAAGAAAACAAAAAGAAGAAAAATGTTTTCAAAGATTTGCAAAATAAGCACGCAGGCCCGTGTTACATTCCTTACTTCCAAACACCCATCTTTCACACAGTAATTGTGTTAAGTCTATAATGTGTGCTACGTTCATGTAACAAAATACAGATTAAAATAATAAGTAAAATACACTAAGAGGTATACGCGCGCGCACACACACACAAACACACACACACACACACGCACACGCGCACGCACACACACACACACACACATACATACATACATACATACATACATACATACATACATACATACATACATACATACATACATACATACATACATACATACATACATACATACATACATACATACATATATACATACATACATACATACATACATTACAAACATACATTACATACATACATACATACATACATACATACATACATACATACATACATACATACATACATACATACATACATACAT